AGTGCCACTCCTCCCCCTCTCTTTCCTATCCTGTCCCTCCTGTACAGCCTATAGCCCTCAGCATTCACCGCCCAATCATGCTTGGAGTCCCACCAAGTTTCCATAATGGTGTCAGCCAGCAGGAGGGCAAGTTCCTTCTGCTTGTTCCCCATGCTACGGGCATTAGTGTAGAGGCATTTCAGGCCTCCTGGAGATGTGGTTACTGACACCCTAGTCCCAGCAATCCCCTTATCCCCATCTCTTACCTGTTTGTCCGCTGAGCTTGCTGGTCCGGGCTGGGCTATAGTTGCGGGTGCCAGTCCGGTGTATCCTCCGCCCTCATCTTCCCCTTCCCGCGACGAGCCTAGTTTAAAGCCCGCCGGAATCTGAGTGATGACAACGTTATTCCACCTGCCTTTCTATTTCAAAAGCCTTGGGTTGCCTTCCAGTGCAGAACCAAATCCAGCATGGGCATTTTGGAAGTTGCCACTAAACAGAATTGTCATTCTGCAGTGAGCAGTCTTTGATCCATCCTAGGCTGGGAGCCTGTGTCTGAAGAGAGAAAGTGGTCACAGCTTGTTTGATGCCACAGAAAGACCAGAAGCTTAGTAGATGCAGCACATCTCTAGCTAACATTTGATCTAGGTCTTGGCGCTTAATAACAACACTTACTTCTGAGCTGGTGACATAGCCCATTACGAAGCTATGTGTTGCCTCCCTAGACACTGAGGCTGACAGTTCTGGGACTCTGGTAATTAGCACCTCTTTATTGCTTCACCCTGAGGTGATACCAAGGTGACAGGTTTCCCATCCTTCAGTTGTGCTGGGCATTCCTGGTGGTTTAGGAATAATGTATCCTGCATTCATGTAGGGCAGTGATTCTGAACCAGGGGGGAGCCACAGCACTGTGGGGTGCCTTGGGATCCTTTCAAGGGCTCCACAGGGTGCCCCACAGTGTTAGCACTATTAGCTTTGCAGACTTGATTCACAAGATAAATTCACTGATTTCAAATAGAAATCCAGGTTTGGGGTCTTTTGGAGTTCTTTGCAACTGAAAAACCTCTCTATTATTTCACTGTAGGCAAAAAAGAGTGAAAGTGAGTTGGATTTTTTGAGGGGTGCCTCAAATTTATCCAAGGGTGCCTCAAGTCTCTCCAGGGGTGCACTGAGTCTAAAAAGGTTGAGAACCACTGATATCGGGGGTTATACTAGATGGCCTTTGGGGTCCCTTCCAGCTCTAAAGCTGACATTTTGCTCTAACGAAAAGGAAGCAAAGTGCATGGTGAAGCCATTTGAGTTCCCTCTGCAGGACAGACCTTTGAAGAAGCATCACTGAATGGCACTCCAATATGGTATGGGACTGATCTACAGCCCCTGGAAGTCAGTGGGAATCTTTCTATTGATGTCAGTGGGCTTTAGGTCCAATTCCACAAGAGCCAAGTACGGAAAATCCAATTACATTATCTCTGTGCTCCAGCCATGCCTCCATCCACCTTTCAGCTTCCCATTGTATCCTCAGAACAACTAAGAGAGCTGCCAAGATAGCTGATCAATAGTCCATCCAGCTGGAATAACAGCCGCTGGAAGATGGAGAGGCAGGGAGAGAGAAGCAGGAGGAAAAAAAGTGTCTATAAAGGGGGAGACACCATTAAAGGAAAGTTAAAGAAAAATGAACAGGTGCAGCAAAAGAATGATCTGATGATGCAGTAATTTGCTTCTCATTTCCTTTCTATGAGCTGAATCATATTTTGCATGTTGGTGTGGGCTTACTTCTGAGTTTGAGACTGATAAATTCTAAGGTTTTTCTTCCTGGAATGAATTCAGTGTGGAATATGGGTGAGCACACATTCCTAAAGGACCTGCCTGTCAAGGATCCTGAGGTATTTTCTGCACATTCAGCTGTGGAGAATCCTGGAGAGTAAGGCTTGTCCCACTTTTAGAGAAGTGGAAATGAGTATCGGTGACTGAGCCAGCATCAAAATAGCAAGTTGGTGGCAGAGAGGGAATAGAAATGACTCCTATTCAGTTTCTTTGGAATACCCAGTTCCTGACCCAGAGTGGACTAAAATGTTGGCCAACAGAAGTAGGATCCAGGCATTCAGACTCATGGAGAGTCATGGCCAAACTGTTTGACCCTTTGGTAACCTCTTTTTAACATGATAAAATGCCCCAAATAGTCACATCTTCCTTTGTCCAGCCAGATCCACTGGTAAGATAGAACGTGAATGGGGCAGGGCTTCTCCCCACCATAAGGTGGTTCTCCTACGTAGACTTGAGATGCATTGAGGTAGCACAAAGAGGAAAACAGTGCAGAAAACAGGACCTAAGAGGCACACAGTCTTGAAGTCATGGGGAAGGTTGGAGCCAAGGATGATAAAGAGGCTGTTGAGAGGGGCAAGAGGGAGTCCAGTGAATGAACAAGGTAACAGATGTGTTGGGTGCGCTGCATGTCATAGATGTGATGATGGTGCTACATGCAGCAGAGGATGAGGAGGACAATAATGCTGGGAGAGGGTGTGAGGGCTGTACATGCAATTCAGAGGGCCAAGACAAGGCTTAGGGAGGTGAGAGTCCTATGTGGATAGATGACATTGCTCTTGTATTTCTGCTATTGCAGATATGGAGGAGAATGGCCTGTCACCCTGCAGTACCCCATCTTCCTCCGGCTGGGAGCGCTACAGTTTCCCGGAAGGTAAGGCGTGGCATTTGTGTTATACCTCGAGGCCAGGGCAATGCCATTTCATCCAACTGATATTTCAAGTGGAAGAGGAAAGAGTTTTTTAGTAACCTGTGTTCAGATTTCTGAGCTGCTCCTGCAACAGCAGGCAATTTAGTATCTTATTTGAACGATTTAAATCTGTTTTGGCCAATCTTTATATATTGCTGAGTAAAATTAGGCCCATAAACCCATATTTAGGCACCTCATGGAATGGCCTGGAGTTCAGAGCCTCTAAGCTCTGACTAGCTCCTGTGAGATCACCAATGCTTTCCGGAGAGGTGGAAGGAAGTTGTTATCCTTGTGACATGCATGGGAAAAAGGAGGCAGCAAGTGAGGAAGTAACTTGGCCAAGGTATCAAAGCAAATTGATGTCAAAGCCATGAAGAACGGTTGGGAACTCAGTTTCCTAGTGTATAGATCATACCCCTTGAATTCTGGGGCTAACTCTCCCATCAGACCAGAGGTTTCTTCATTTTATCCTTGTGTCTGTGTTTCTCCCCAGCTTCGCTGCAGAGTCCATCTGCTTCCTCCACTCACTCCCAGAAGTCCATCGAGAACCTCTTTGCTGCCAGGTAAGAGACAACTGGAGCGTTCCCTGATGAGACGAGCCCCATGTCTAGTATCTTCTTTGGCTGTGGGTTTGACCACAAGTCCCTGTATATTTCTTGGGAGAGTATCTGCATCCTGCAGGTGGGGAACAGGCAAAACTCAATTAGCAAAGATGTGCTTTGAGAATAAGGGTCATATCAGCCATAAGTTTCACAGCACAGTCTTGCTTTGAAAGTGCTATACCCCAGCCCTTCTTTAGTTGGTTTAATGGCCTAAGCAGACAGCTGGTGAGCTGGGATTAGGGAGAATTAGCCAGAAAGCTGAGACTGATGGTTGGGATCTAGACAATACACCTCTTTATTTTTGAGTTTACAAGTGTTGTATAAATGCCATGCTTGTAGGAGTGGGGTGAACAGACCAGATGGGGGGTGGATTCTCCGTGCCACCCACTGCAGCCAGTTGATAGCGATTGTTTACCAGAGAGGAGAGACTCCTTCAGGGAGGCTTTAGTGTTTATATACTTAGAAAAAAGTGCAACACAAGCATCCTCACTCTGCCTCACCTTTGCTTTGGTGTGACGGAGGAGAGTCACTCTCAGTGATGGCCCATTTAGTCCTGAGTGTCTTTGCTGAGCGGGGCTCTCAGTGGGTTCACATCTCAGCCCACTGGAAAGCAACATGAAGCTCCCACACCCATCCATAGTGCACGGAGCACTCATTAGATGGTAACTTTTTCATTCAGCACCTACATAGCTTAGATTGGAACCAGTGACCTAGAGGACTAAATACTTTACTACTCCCTCCTCAAGCCACCCATATATGTGGGTATGGACTATGGAGGTATCTCTGTGTCATCTGATATGAAGAAACTGTGCAGGCCGTAGCCTACTGAAATTCAGCAGGACTTCGGGTCCTAAGTCACTTAGGTACTGTAAGCTTTACTTTTATCCAGTGATTTGAAGAGATAAGGGATCAAAGGAAGAGCCCTCTGTCTTTCTCATGCACCAACATGCTCATCCCATTCTCCTTATGCTGCCTGGACTCTCTGGTTCCAGTCCCTGGAAACCTCTGTCAGAGAGCATGAGTCACACAGCTCTTCTAGAAAGTGACAGAAGAAAGGATTAGGGTTTAGGGGGATCACATACTCTTAACTAGCTGAAGAATTTACTTCTGAGGCATGGGGCAATGATGGTCTTCCTAAAGTTTCCTCCCAGTCTGGGGAGTTCACAAGAGACTTGAGTAGAGGAGAGTTACATTTTTACTAGGCTGCGCTGGCTGTACAGAGCATACTCCCTGTACTGGTTGTGGTATAGCTCTGAAGGGGACTGATGGGCTGCTCTGTATTGCAGGTGAAGCTAGGTGAGCAGATGCTTGGCAGCAGACCCGGTGCATGCGTCTTTGGACTGCCTGACTTATGTGGCCTATACCTCCCCTTGTTACTTTGTCTTGGTGCAGGTTGACCCTTAATAAAACAAGACTGTTGACTCGTGCGGCCAAAGGTTTCATGAGTAAATCTCCAAATAGGGTGACTGAGCCCAGCTCGGAGAGCGACAATGAGAACAAAGACTATCTACCCCTGGTAAGCCACTGAACCAGACCTCTACTATTTGGCATAATGGAGCATAGGAAGATAAGAATGGAAGAGACCTTTTTTGATCACTGGGTCCAGTTCCCTGCCACTGCAGACAGCTATGTCCTATAATCCAGTTCATAAGCTCTTCCGGTCCCAGCCTAAGTTAGGTTGTTTGCTCCAACTACTCCTGTTGGAAGGCGCTTCCAGGACATCATTCTTTGGAGGTGATACTTAAAAGCCACCTTCTGATTCCTAGCCTACATTTGCTCATGATCACTGCATACTTGCATATTCTAGATAGAGTGTGAGCTAGAACTACTGCTTCTGAGGAGGATGACAAGCAGCTCTATTGCATGTGATCATCCTGGAAGCTATTGGCTTACCCATAGTGCTGCTGTCCCAGCCTGGCTTGGGTGTAGCTGGGGTAGACTTTTGCTGGGTTGGGTAAGCCACAGCCCTGGCTACAGAAAAGATCTTCTCTGGGGCCTTACTGCAGCACTTCCTTAAGGCGGCACTATGGTTCCTCCCTGCAGGTATCTCTGCAGTTGGCCTGTGGTGCTTTCCTGCTCAACTCAGCGCTCTGTGATGCAACCAACATTCCCATGGAGAAACTGAAGTGGACCTCTCCGTTCTCCTGCCACCGGATGACTCTCAGCCCCTCTGCTGGCTCTTACAGCACGAGGAAGCCAGACACCCCTGGGGAAGCCAAGAGCCCAGCCTACAGCCGGCAGCTCCAGGTGCCTGGTGATGTTCGCAGAGAAGGCTCCTCTGACAGGGACTTCATCTCTAGTCCCTTGACCAATGGACATGGCGAGGGCCAGGAGGATGGGGGTTGCCCTCGCCACTTCTCAGGTAGCGATGCTGAGAGCCTCTCCAGGGCTCTGCAAGCTGAGAATGAACTCTCCCCTCCTGCTATCACCATCCACCGCTTCTCCTCCCTGCAGAGCACCCAGCCTCCTCTGGAGCTCCAGAGCGACAGTGGCAGAGGCTCTGAGACAGACGGCTCTGAGCTCCAGGCCCTGCTGTCTGACATTGAGCTGCAGCAGCGGACTGAGCCGGAGGGGATGCTTTGGGCCACAGCAGTCGCCCTGGCCTGGCTGGAACACAGCTCGGCCTCCTACTTTATTGAGTGGGAGCTGGTGGCTGCCAAAGCCAGCATGTGGCTTAGTGAGCAGGAGTTCCCCCCGGGCTGTGGCCTGGCCACTGTGAAGGCCGCAGCCCGGCAGCTCTTTGTGTTGCTCAGGCACTGGGATGAGAACCTTGAGTTCAACTTGCTGTGCTACAACCCAAACAATGTCTAGGAGGGGCAGGGGCATTGGGGGGGATCCAGGCAGTTGTCTGTGAAGGCACCCAGGGTACAGGGACTAGTCCTTAAAGCCACACTGAGCTCTGCTCTAGCAGTGATGTGCACGTTTATTAGAACAAGGCTTTGCGCTGGAAAAGCCATGACTGAGATCCATTCAAAATCCCACGCTCGGTGATTCTTCTTCTCATGGCCTAAGCAAGGTCCTGTGCTGCTTCCTGCAGAAGGACATTATTTAGGCTAGTGTCTCAGCAGAAAGGATCAGACAATCTGGTAACTAGGAAGAGCACGTCTGGTTTTTCTGGGCACCAGGCAGCTTCCCTTTGGTCTCCAGTGCTGCTCCCAGGAAGAGAATCCCAAAGCATTGCTCAGCCATCTGATCCACCCACTTTTCTCCTGCTTACCAAGCTCCCCTCTGCTCTTCATGCAGAGCATTTGCAGCATGATTTATTTATTGCTCCCCAGAGGCACCTGACAGTGTCCCACTGTCAGTCTTGAATGCCTTTTAGTGAAGATTATCCTGCGTCTCTTGTCTCAGGATTCATGCTTATGCATCTGCTACTTCTCGTAGGTCAAGGGCAATGGAAATGCAGACTGCGACTGAGTGTCCAGGTAGCTTATACTCAAACACCAGTAGTGTTGTTCCTATTGGAGCTGGGTGAAAAGCTACTTTCTCCCGGCCCTGGCCATGGAATGGCTTCACTGATCACCAGGGGTGGATTTGGGCTGAGATTTTCCACGAAGCCCTCAGGAATTGAGTGCTCAGATCCCACTCTAATTCCAAATTCCTTGGTGTCCAGGACTGCCCCACAGCTGACAACGTGCCTTAGCATCGTGTGCCCACAGAGCGGGGGCATTGTGGGGGCAGACTCTGCAGTCAGTAAACTGCCTGGAACGTGCAGAGGATGGGCTGAAGAAAGCAAGCTCTTTCCCAAGCACTTCTGGCTTAGTGTAGTAGAGACAGGAAGGTGTCCTAAGAAGTAAAGTCTTCTCTGCTCCATCAGAGCCCCCTCCTGTAGGGATACAGCCTATGGTCTCGAGAGAGGCTGTGCAGCATGTTACATCCGATCGAAACCACTTGGCTAAAGGGCCTGGCTTGGAGTTGCATTTCCAGCTTGAAGCCATTTGCCCAGTGGTTTTGACCTTCTTGCACTTTGGTTTCCTGACTCAGATGGAGAATATTCCACTGCCCTCCTGTGCACCTGGCTCTTTGAAGCTCCTGCTAGCCAAACTCCTCTGTCCTGGCCAGATTGGCAGAGCTCCTTCATTATTGGTGTGGCTGCCTTTTCTACCGTTAGCATTATTCCCTGTGCATAGGTTCTACCTTCTTGTGTCTGCTTGCAAACCTGTCACATGCCTGTCTGTCACACCTTGCTCCTTGGGTCTCACACTGCCTTTCCAGATGGGGTGAGCAAACCATTTATCTCCCAGTTGGGTTGAATGCCTGGCGAGCCCCTTGGATTCCCTCCCTCTCCCTCCCTCTGGCACTGCTGCTGAACTTGTTCCCATCCTCTCTGTGCTGTGTTTTGACTGGAGTGCCATAGCGCTTGTGACAGGCACTATCCGTGGGTACCTGTATCCACTCTGCTTAATGCAAAGTGACAACTGATAGCAAATTGTATTGACAGACCTTCAGTGAGCGTAATTGCTCGGCAGAAATGATCCTGAATCAGTTATTCATAGTGGAAGGCAACTGTAATCCTCAGACTCCAGTGCTCTGCAAAGTCACCAGAACTATCCCTGTTATCTCCAGCTAATGCCAGGAACATGCTTTGGGTGACAATTGTCAAAAACATGTTAATTCAACTAAATACACCACAGCTAATTAGTTCATAATAGAGTGATTATTAAAGACTCAGTAAGGACCAGATTCAGCTTGTTGCAGTCCAAGGGAGCTGAGCACGAGTGTTTAAAGGCCAAATATGACCTTTCCATGACAAACCTCACAGCACAACTGGCTTGTTCTGATCAACATGCACATAACTGTTCCTGTCTCATTAGTGGGGACAGTGCAGGCCTCATTATGGCCTACAGCTGAAGGGTGACTGCATCTGAACCATCACCCCAGGATGCGGGGGATGCTGTCACCTCAGGGAGGTTCGTACAACCAAGCTCATGTCCGTGAATCAAGAAAACCTCCCTATTCACTTCAGCACCCATGTAGAGCCCATTAAAACAAGTGAAAATTTAGCACATGCTTTAAGGCTTCCCTGAATTGGGGCCAGGTTTCATTATGCCTGAAAAGATGGGTGGGTGAGTTGGGAGGCTATCGATGGTTGGGTGAGTTGGGAGGCTATTGATGGTTGGGAGGCCATCGATGGTTGGGTGAGCTGGAAGGTTATTGATGGTTGGGTGAGTTGGGAGGCTATCAACGGTTGGGTGAGTTGGGAGGCTATCGATGGTTGGGTGAGTTGGAAGATGTGAGATTGTGTGAAAGGGAGTGAAAGAGGTCAGGTTCACATGTGAGACATGGAGCTGATCATGATGCTTTCAACCAAAAACAATTTCTGTCAGAAACTATGATTCTGTTGAAGTTGATCTTTGCAAAGGGATAGAGGGCAAAGGCAATATTTTCAGTGATTTTTGCTTTACTTTAATTTTTCTGACAGGAGAACTCTAAAAATATATATTTCTTTTGTTTCAACCCAGAATATAGCTTTAACATTGGTCTTAGGGAACTGAAAAATGTTAGTTGCCATTTGCAGGGTTTGGATTTTGGGGGCAGGGGGTCTTCCCCTCCATTTTTATCTCTTTCCGTCCAGGAGAAGTAAAAGAGGGGAAAGAAGTGAGAGACCACCGGACTTTCCTCTGATGCAAAAATATGTATTTGGGAGCCCCCATGGGAAACCACCATTTTCGACCATGAATTTTGGGGCAGGTATTTATGAAAAAGAAGAAGTAGGTTTTCATACAATGTCTTGTGTGAACAGATTGGGATGAGAGTTTTGTTTGTCTTGCAAGAGGAGTTTACAAGATGCCTCCTCCTGTTGTCTTCAGATCCAGTTCAAATATGTGTCTTGTCAGCTCAGGCTGCAAGAGCATGGTCCAGTTCCAAATGCATCCATGCCTTTCCTGGTTATGTTCCAGATTAGTCCCTGAAACTGCTGGCATCCCATGTGTGTTCAACAGGGCATCAACTCGGATGTTACAGAAGATGCCCATGTCATTGTGCGGCATTATTAATGTACCAGCCCCTGCAGTGGGAGTGCTGGAGAGCTGCAACACTCCTTTTCAAGCAGGTCATTTGCTCTTCCCATCTCAAGTCGCATGTCATGGAAAGTAGCAAACCGAAAGCTTAACTGTGTGTGTAGCTATTACCCTGTTCCGTAGCCGTCCCACCCTGTGACGTGGTGTCGGTGTGCTGCAGAGCCAGTGCAAGGCCCTGGCTAAAAGCAATGTGATGTGAGCTGCTTTTTTTTTGGTAGGTGGAGTGACCTGATGTATTGGGTTTTTAAAGTGTTTTTGCACCCTCCTACCACCTCGCCTCATGTCCCTGCTCCCCTCAGCCACCTGCAAGGCTCAGCTTTGTAAATACCAGAAGCATTAATAAATGCAAACCATACCACAGTGACCCCCTTTTCCTGGGGGGCGCCTGGCTCTCACAGCAGGTGTACTGGGTGTTGAAGCCCAGATTGGCAGCTCAGAGAGCCACGGCTGCAGAGATGGGGAATGCCAAGGCCTGCGCAGGCATGTGGGTCAGTCAGGCTTGGTACACAGGTCCTAGGTGGTGTCACAACAGCTCTGTCCACAATGCTGCATTACCTGATAGGAGCTTATTTCTATGCACTCAAAGCACTTTAGATGCTTCCAGGTTATGGGCTTTTAGCAATCATTCCAAATGGCTTTTTGGTTAGAGTCTCAGCAGGTCCTTACGAGGTGAGTCACAGTCTAATGTCTCAGTTTCGCACAGAAAAATGAGAACATCACAGAAAATCTCCCCGATTACTATAACCCCCCAACACAAACATATGGCCTTGTGGTTTGGACTCTCCAATGTCAATGCAAGTCTTAGTGACTCCTAACTAGCCCTTGTACGAGTCTGTAATAGATATAAGGTCTAGAAGATGTACTGAGTGAGGGACATAGAAGTATTGAGTGTGCATGGGGAAAAAAAGTATGGAGAGTGTGTGCAACAGCAGAGGAAGCTGTCTCTGGTGTTCAAGCTGCGGCCCAGCAGCAGAGATAGGAAGTGCCATCAGAGACAGGGGTCATTTGTAATAAAACAGGGAAAGACACACCACCTGCAGTGTGTTGTATGCAACAGCCACCATGCATGTTATCACATAGAGACTCGTGTTGGCCATCTGCTTTTTAGCATGGTCTTGAGACAGTCAGATTAGCCCAAGAGCAGTTCTGTGAACTGGTAAAACATGCATCACTGCTGCTAACTCTGCTCTAAAATCACTCTGTGTTGGTTTGCAGATGTAACAGGAGGCTGGCAGGTCATTCCTATTGCTTCTCTGAGCCTGCTCTCCAAATTACCAGCTCAACCATGTAACAGAGGCTGCGGTTTGGAGTGCATTGACCCCCGGAGGGGGGGAGCCTGCAGATCAGTAAGCAGATGAGATCTTATCTGAGGTAATAGTAATATTTTACTGAAGAGCAAAACCTACCTCTCTTTTTTGCCCAACTCTTGCTCTCTCTCTTGGGTTCTCACTACAAAGAAGTTAGCAGAGTCTTGAACTAGGTCCATCTAAGATAGCTATGACGCAGACCTCAGCCCTGCTGGTTAATAGGGACCTGTGCTGGTTTCCAATGACATCTTCCACAAGACATGCAGTCAGAATATTTTGGGGGAGATCTGTACTACCCCATATGACCAGACCCAGGACTCGGTACCTGCAACCCTGGCATGCTCTGCCAACATTTGAATGTCCCTGTACTACAGGCTCCTTGCAGGAGAGCCCAGAGTGCTGCCTTGTAACTTGAGGTCAGCTCTGAGGAAGCGTCCAGTTATTGTTTCAAACCAAAGTACCGACAGGAGAGGTTTAGCAGGGATGGGATAGGCTTTGGCTGTAGCTGAGAATTTTACAGGCTGGCCAGGAAAAGGAGAGCTCTCTGCTGGACTCACAGGGGAGTGTTTAATCTTGTGTTAATTAAGCTCTTGCTGAGTGCTGCTGTGAAATCCTCCAGCACGGCCTCCAAGTTGCCATGCGGGCTGTCTGGACAGGCCACCAGAGGGTGACCTTGCTTCATGCTCATCAAGATGCTGAGATCTGTGGTTGGCAGTTCACAAGCCGTTAGAGACGGTGAGGGTAAGACTGGGGCTGGGTGGCTGTGAAGAGCTGAACCTTGCAGCAATGCCTCTTGCAGCTGCCTCGAGGTCCAGCTGCATGGAGAAGGCAGCTCCCTCAGCCTCTGCCAGCTGAACAGGGAAGGATAATTCTGGAGGTTGTCTCTGCATCAAAGGGGTTTAGCCATAGGAGTTTGGAGTCTCACACCTGAGCGCTGGCTTCCAGCTGTGCGGGGTGGTTTATATAGCTCCCGTGTTGCAAAGCCTTTTCTCTGATGGAAAACCCATGAGATGCTGGATACAGCATCATAAGACCAGTAATTGCTTCTGTTCAGGCAACACTGTTAATTCCAAGGACACCAGAGCATTCAATCAATACTAGATCAGCCAGCAAGGTAGGTAACTCTGTCCAGTTTATAAGTGGGGAAACTGAGGCACAGACAGCTAAATGACTTGCTGGAGCAGAACTTGGGGAGTGATGGTTCCTAGCTCTGACCACTATAAAACGCTGCCTCACCTATTGTTAAAAAAGTTGGGAGCTCTCCAACTACACTGTGGTCCATCTTAGCTTGGATGCAGTCTCCGTCGCCAGGGATGTGTTGAACATCCATCCGTTCCAGTCAGAGTTTTGTGTCGCTGTGTCGCTGCTCGTGGTGTCACGTAGCTGTCAAATTAGCCGGGTGGCTTTCTGCAGTCCTCTGTGGTTCAGGTGACATGGCTGGTGATTGTTCTCCAGACCCTCAAGTGCCTACGGATGCGACCACACGCTCTAGCGTACAATGTGACTGTGGTGCCTGTGATTTTTTTGCTGCTCGTTGGAGACCCATTGCCTTTCACTCACTTTCCGGATGCGTCAGCAGCATTGCCTTGTTTGGTGGGCTTTGAGTTTTGTGTCCGGGGCGGGGTTGGGGTTGGGGTGGGGGTAGGAAGGGAGGAAGCAGTGTTTTGACGTTAGGACTGTGCTCGTGCCGTGGTCCCTTTGTTATCCGTGTCAGCTATCTTTGTGTGACGGGTCGACCATTCTGTGATGCTGAAGATGTCCCTCGGTGGGGCACGGTGAGTTTGTCGGCTGGCTCCTCGTGGCGGTCGTGTTCTCTGTTACACAAGTGGTGTTACCCCAATAAAGCAAAGTGCGCTTGAATCCGTGTCCTGAGTACTTTTGTTTCATTGTGGTTTTCCCTGCAGCTCCCCCAGAGCTCCCCAGAGTCACTTGAACAGTTGGTGAAGAAGTCGGAGCCTCCCTAGAGCCTCCCCAGAGTCACTTGAACAGTTGGTGAAGAAGTCGGCTGGGCCTTGGGGGAGAAAAACAGAGCTTGGAAGGAAAGGATCATTGCTGGTTTCTTTCCAAAACATTTAGGTTTCAGCTTTTTTTTTGTCCAAACATAATGTTCATTCAAAGGGAGAATATCTTACCCTTTGAATTTTTGAAAATGGGGTGGAAAAAAATCTGATTTGAGCAAAATACCTGAAAGTTGCACAAGGGAA